GTCTCTCTCTCTCTCTCTCTCTCTCTCTCATTTTTTAAGCAGAGAAATGTTTCCTTAAAAGGCTCTCTCCTTCCCTCCGGCACCCTGGCCCCTGGCCACCCTCTCAGGAGCCTGGAATGTGCCAGGGAGAGCCAGGGCCCCCTGCCACTCAGGCCCATGCCCTGTGGCCCCAGACTCCTACTGTTGGCAGTGACCACTCCCCCTGCCCCCTGGGGACCCCAGCTAGGAACCCTCCCTCTGCAGATGAGGTGGCCTCTGGAGTGTCTGCGGGGACTCTCAGTACCAACCCTGCCAACCGTTCACCTCCCCAGGGCTGACAGCACAAGATTCCAGAATTCAGGCCCAGGAAGTCGGCCTCAGGTAAGCCTCCTCCCCCTGGGTCTACCTCCACAACCTATCTGCACACAGGGGTGCTGGTGGACCCGAGGCTCAGCCTTTCCTCTTTGAAAAATATGCCAACTATAAAAGCAGCAGCAGCAGCAGCAAATAACTTCCATCACACTTGTTACATGCCAGGCCCTGTGCTTTGTACTTGGAGTAAATTAACTCACTTCATTCTCACAACAACCCTGAGTGTCCTGTTCTGTGGAAGGCAGAGGCACAGAGGTTAATCAACTGTCCAGCAGAGGAGGCAGGATGCAAACCCAGCAGTCTGGCTCCAGACAGAGGCGTGCTCCTGCCCTCTCTGCTGTGCTGATTCTCCCATGAACACCAATTTCCACAGAGCACAAAAAGCCCGCAGGATGTGCTGATATGTCTGTTACTGTCCTAAGTCCTTTTCTTGGATTCATTTGATCCTAATAAAAAAAATATATGGGCTATACTGTTATAAAACCCATTTCACAGATGAAGAAACCAAGTCACAAAAAGGGTAATGACTTGCCCAAGGCCAATGCAGCAGAACGGCTTATCTCCGGAGTCTGCGAGGTAGAGAGCCAGGGATGCAGGCGGGATGTGAGTGTTACCAGGCTCAATCAGGGTCAATGCCTGACATTCATCAGCCCTCCACCCACAAGTATTTTCTGAACTTCAAAGGTCCTTGGGCACAATGCCAACAACAGGGCACAGCCTTGGAGACTACCAGGACATGAGGGTCTAAAGCACCCGACAGCAGCCAGCCCAAGCCGAGAGCTCCCTGTACAACCTGGTTCCTGCCGCCTTCCCCTACCATCATTCTGTGCTCATCCCCCCTTGTCAGGGACCCAAAGCCACCCACAAGGTGGCTCCTCTCAGTCCCTGGGATTGAGCTCTGCTCTTCCTCAGGGCCTCCGCATATGCTGTTCCCTCTGCCCAGGATGTTCTTGGCCCAGTTGTCTGCATAGCTAGCCCTCTCATCCTTCTGACTTTGGCTTCAATGCCATCTCCCAGAAGTCAAGCAGCTAAAAGTAATAGTGTTGGCAGAAGCAGAAGTGGTAGTTGCTAAAATTTTCTGCACACTCACTGGGTGCCAGGCACTGTTCTAAGCCCTGGTCTATATTATCCCTTCACTCCTTATGACCCCCTTGAGGTAGTTTACTAGCATCCTCATCTTACAGGATCTCAGGCAGACCCCTCAACAATCCTGTGAGATCCGAGACGGCACACCTACCAAGTGACAGTGCAGGACCACCACCAGGCTAGCCTGCCTTCAGTATCTGCCTCTTCCAGCATGCCCCCACTGCCTCCACAGCTGGATGAGGCTGCACCGTGGTCGAGGTGCCAGGGCTGTGAGAGCGCAGAGAGAGCTCAGGGATCCCAGGCAGACTCCTCGGAGGAGGGACACCCCAGCCAGGCTTTCACTGTTCTATTGTGTGTCTCACCCACTTCCCCTGGAAGCCCCACAGGGGCAGGAAGCACACGCACCATTTTCATCGAGAAGCTCTGGTGCTTTGCTCAGAGCCTGGAGCTCACGAGGTACTTGGATAAGGTTTTTGAAGATGGAGATGGGGAAAGGGCATTTCAGGTGGAAATAACCACAGGAACAAGGCATAGAGGTGCAAATGCTTCATATGTTAAAAGAAGCCCCCATTGGCTGGGACACGGGATGGGGGGCAGGAGGGAAGAAACAGTACTGAAGGGCAGATCAAAGGAGGTGATAGAAGCGGACTGGC